TTTATTAGAATTACATTTAAAAAGTGATATAAAAGTATAAATTAAGCAAAATATTAAAAAACTAAATATGAAATAAAACTACTTGGTGGACTCCCCAATTCAGAAAAAAATCAAATTAAGTGCAGAAGAAATCAAAATTACAACATCAGATCCACCTTCTGCATGCAATTACACTAATTATAGCTGGCCAAGTTGTTGGACTTGAGAGCAAAAAACAGAGTTTTGTTCCAAAAACAAGTAGCTTTGTTTTCGACAAAAAAAGTTTAGATACACTACTACTTGGCATAGAAGTTAAGAATGAAAATATCAAAAGAATGGTCCAAATATGAAGTTTCTTATTATGGCAAAGATAGAAAGCAACAGTTTAGTAAAAGTAACGTAAAAAAATGTTTAATCAAAAAGAATAGTGAGAGAGAGAGTGTATTTTGTATATATTGAGAGTGAGTGTATTGTGTATTATATATATAAGTGGGTCAGAAGCCAAGGGGTACAAGTGACAATTTTACCAAAATTAAGTTAAGTATAGAATTTTATAGAAGAAGCAAACAAAATTGTTGGTGGCCAAGGGATACAAGTGAATCTCTGCCCTGTGCTGCTTTCTATTGGAAAAACATAACAACAGCTGAGTATATTTAACAAAAATACTTTAACTTTAAACAGCTGTATCTCAAAACTATGAAAATGTCACTTGTACCCCTTGGGTTCTGACCCATTCATATATATACATACATATATATATATATATATATATATATATATATATATATATATATATATATATATATATATATATATATATATATATATATATATATATATATATATATATATATATATATATATATATATACATTAATTAACTTACACAATTGGAGAGTTCAATTAAATTAAACTTTTCCTGTAACTTAAACAGGTCATTTTCTAGCATTTCTTTTCCTTCTTTTAAAGTTCGATTTCTCTCTTCAGTATGCTCTAAATGCACTTGTTGTTCATGAATCTTCTGTTTAAGACTGTGGTAATCATTAGTATCACTTATAAACTGTTGTGAAGCCTAGACAAAAAATTAACAAAAATTATGTTTTTATAATTAATTTCATATTGCTATTAAATGTGTAAATACTTCAATGGTAGATATGGGGAGGGATTGATCAGCTAAAAAATTTAGCAGTCCCTCTCAAAAAAACTTGATCTTTGTACTTATTACTTTAGGCCTGATGCTAGTTGTTATCAATTAATCTATCTACTATTTACTAATCTCCTCAACTACGGCTATTGTTAGGTCTGAGTTGTTAGGTTATTGATGGTAGTTATCGATTGATCACTGTTGTTATCAGTTAATCACATTATCTACTAATCTCCTCAACTCCTTTCATTATTATGTAAAGACATAATAATAAAAGTTGAGTAAAAAAATTATGATTTTTATTTTATTCTATAATATTAGTTTTCTTTTATTTAATTTTTAAGCAGTATTGAAGTAACAGTATTTTAACTTTTTGAACTTTATCAACCTTTTCAGAAATTTTATCTTGAAGTTTTTTAATCTCAATTGTTTTTAAATGTATTTCTTCTTGAAATCGATCTACTTTAGTTTGCAATTCCTATAATAAAAAGAATAAAAAATTTACAACAATAATTGAGAAAAAATAACAAAGAATAAAAAAGTTAACAACAATTTTGTTACTCATTAGAGTAAAAACAAAGGCAAATAATTAAGTAATAAATAATTAATATATAAGTGATTTTGTTATTAAAAAGTTCTAATATATAAAAATTTTTAATGTATAAAAGTTGGAAGTTGTTAAGTAACAAATTAGTTTAACTATAAACTGTTCTACAATTCCAAATACTTTAATAAGACGACATTTAACCACATTTAACATAGTCACCTGATTTAAAGAAGAAAGTCTTGAATTAGCTGTATTTAAATCAGCATTAGTAGTAGCAATAGTTAACATTCTTTTTTCCAAAGACACTGTTTTTGCTCTGAATTCATTTAGTTCTGTTTGTTTTAATTCTTTCTAAAAGAAAAAATAACTTAAAATTCAATATAGAAAAAAAAAAATCATATATGTAATATATATATATATATATATATATATATATATATATATATATATATATATATATATATATATATATATATATATATATATATATATATATATATATATATATATATATATATATATATTTATATCAAGCCTTCCTGGGAAGCGCATGTGATCGAATGCTTTATTAGTAAATATTTAAAGTAATTTTTTTAAACAAACTGACCACGGCAGTTCACATCTTTTAACTTTTAAAGCGTTTCAATAATTTCCAGCAAAAAGCTTAACTTATCTACTAAGAAAAAAAACACAATTCTAAAAAAAGGAAACAAAAGTGTAACAAAATATCAAGTTCAATTAAATAAACTAGAAAGTTTAATAATTAAAACAAGTAAATAAATTTTTTTTTTTTATAAAAGTTTTATACAACTTTTTTATTTTTTTTTTAG